TTTTTTTCATTGTGTTGTTGTTTTATAGGGTCTGTGAGATTTATGGTTTAAGGAGATTCTATTTTGGTGTATTTTGAGGATTTGTTTCAAGATTTAGAGCTCCTTTTCATAGTTCTTGCAGCACTGGCTTCATTGTGGCAAATTCTCTCAGCATTTGTTTGTCTGAAAAAGACTATATCTTTCCTTCATTTGTGAAGCTTAGTTTTGCTGAATTGAGAATTCTTGGCTGATAATTGTTTTGTTTAAGGAGGTTAAAGTTAGGACCTCAATCTCTTCTAGTTTGTAGGATTTCTGCTGAGAAATCTGCTGTTAATCTGTTAGGGTTTTCTTTATAAATTACCTGATGCTTTTGCCTCACAGCCCTTTAGATTATTTTCTTTGTCTTGAATTTAGATAACCTGATGACTGTGTGCCTAGGTGATAATCTTATGATGAATTTCTCAGGTGTTCTTTGAGCTTCTTGTATTTTGATGTCTAGATCTCTAGCAAGGCCAAGGAAGCTTTTCTCAGTTATTCCCTCAAATATGTTTTCCAAACTTTTAGACTTCTCTTCTTTCTCGAGAACACCAATTATTCTTAGGTTTGGTTGTTAAACGTAATCCCAAACTTCTTGGAGGCCTTTTTCATTTTTTAAAATTCTTTTTTCTTTGTCTGTGTTGGATTGGGTTAATACAAAAGCCTTGTCTTTGAGCTCTGAAGTTCTTTCTTCTTGTTTGATTCTATTGCTGAGACTTTCCAGTACATTTTGCATTTCTCTAAGTGTGTCCTTGATTTCCAGAAGTCATGATTGTTTATGCTGTTTCACTGGACATTTTCCCATTCATATCCTATATCTTTTTTTTCTTTTAATTTCTTTAAGTTGGACTTAACCTTTCTCTGGTGCCTCCTTGATTGGTTTAAAAGTTGACCTTCTGAATTCTTTTTCTGACAGTTCGCAGGTTTTGTCTTGGTTTGGATCCATTGCTGGTGAGCTAGTATGATCTTTTTGGGGTGTTAAAGAACCTTGTTTTGTCATATTGTTGGAATTGTTTTTTTGGTTCCTTCCCATTTGGGTAGACTGTATCAGAGGGAAGATCTGGAACTCAAGGACTGCTGTTCAGTTTCTTTTTTTTTTCTTTTTTTTCTTTTTTTTTGAGTCGGAGTTTTGCTCTTGTTACCCAGGCTGGAGTGCAATGACGCAATCTCGGCTCACCGCAACCTCTGCCTCCTGGGTTCAGGCAATTCTCCTGCCTCAGTCTCCTGAGTAGCTGGGATTACAGGCACGCGCCACCAGGCCCAGCTGATTTTTTGTATTTTTAGTAGAGATGGGGTTTCACCATGTTGACCAGGATGGTCTCGATCTCTTGACTTCGTGATCCACCCGCCTCGGCCTCCCAAAGTGCTGGGATTACAGGCTTGAGCCACCGCGCCCGGCCCAGTTTCTTTTGTCTGATGAGGTGCTCCCTTGATGTGGTGCTCTCCTCTTTCCTATAGGGATAGGACTTCCTGAGAGCTGAACTGCAGTGATTGATATTTCTCTTCTGGATCTAGCCACCCAGTGGAGCTACTGGGCTTCTGGGCTGGTACTGGGGACTGTCTGCAAAGAGTCCAGTGATGTGATCTGTCTTCAGGTCTCAGCCATGGATAGCAGCACCTGCTCCCATGGAGGTAGCAGGGGAGTGAAGTGGACTCTGGGAGAGTCCTTGGTTATATATATATATATTTTTTTTTGAGTTGGAGTCTCACACTGTCACCTGGGCTGGAGTGCAGTGGCATGATCTCAGCTCACTGCAACCTCCGTCTCCTGGGTTCAAGTGATTTTCCTGTCTCAGCCTCCCAAATAGCTGGGATTACAGGCACCTAACACCACACCCAGCTACTTTTTTGTATTTTAGTAGAGACAGGTTTTTCACTGTGTTGGCCAGGCTGGTCTCAAACTCCTGACCTCATGATCCACCTGCCTCAGCCTCTCAAAGTGCTGGGATTATAGGTGTGAGCTGGGTAGATTGTATTTTTAAGTATGCAGGTTTTGTGTTGGTTAGCCTCCAGCCAGGAGGTGGCACTTTCAAGAGTGCATTAGCTGCTGTAGTAGAAGGAAGATCAGGTGGTGGGCGGGAACTTGGAGCTCCTATGAGATTATGTCCTTTGTCTTCAGAGTTTCTTGGCTGTCCCAGGAGCCTGCAGCAGCAATCTACCTTCTTCAGAGGGTCTGTGGATTCTCTTAGCTTTTCTCGTATCCTCCTCCATTGTTTTTGGAGCAAGAGTTCATGATGTAGATCTCCATGTGCTACTCTGTTCATCGAGTGGGAGCTGCAAGTTATTACTGCCTCCTGTCTGCCATTTTCCCTCTCACTGTGTGATTTTGTCATTTTTATGAAAGCTTAATATTAAAAGATTTGAAAAGTCGGAATGGTGTCATCATGTACTATGCTTGGAAAAGGGAAGACAGTCTACGGTCATGTGGTGAAATTAGTAGAGATATTGGAGTAGAATAAAACAAGATGTATTTAATATTGAATTCTATAGATGATGTTGGCTGTATATGACATTGACATGTAATGCTTTGAGCTTCTTATATTTAGCTGTCTGTGTAGTATGAAATCTGCAGTGGGAATAATTGAAGATGTTATAAAAAAGTGGAACATGAAATCTTTGTGGAGGCCAAAGGAAGTGATGGTGGGTTTACCTGAGATTTGTTAAGATGCTCTTGTGTAGTCAGTTCCATACAGCTATTAAGAAGTGGTCTACTTTTTATCTTGATGTAATAGCTTGCAGCTGATTTGAATCTAACCCGGTTTTTGTTTTCCTTTGAGAATGTGTTGGTTGTGTGGGTTTAAACGTCACCATTGTTAAAATGAGACTGAGTAAATCTGATAGTCATCTTTTATTTTTCTCTGTTAGCTTTGCTGGGTGACTATAAGTGTAGATAAAGCAAATGGTATGTAAATATCAAAATTATTTTTTAAAGGATAAATAATCTTTATTTTTTCTCCTTTGAATTTTATTCTAGGATCCATCAGTTACACAAGTGACAAGAAATGTTCCACCAGGACTTGATGAATATAATCCATTCTCGGATTCTAGAACAGTAAGATGATTCTTACTTTTAAATGTTTAAATTGAAATTCAATAGGAATTATAGTTCAAATATGGTTTCTTTTTTAGTGGATTGGTTAAACTTATATAAAACAAATTGTTAATGTTTTTAGTATTCAGCAAGCTTGGATTTTTCTAATATGTAGAAATATTAGTAATAATTGAAGATTACCGTGATGATCCTAGTGAAATACTTCAAATTTTCCTTCATGTTTTACAAATTAAATCACAAAATCTCTCTAAAATGTAAACTTTTCTACATTACTTGAAATGCTAGGAATTAGAGAAATGTTTCATGGTATACATGTTGTCTACCTGATAATGTGGGGTATTTTTTTTTTTATGCGGAAACCCTATGGAACTATACCATAAATATTTGTATTATTGTCCTTTGAATTAGATTATTCTGAATGTAGCCTTCTGTTCTGGCAGAGTAGAATCTCTGGAACTTTACCCAGTCTAGGAAAGCGTCTTTTTCCCCTCAAAATTGTTATTTTTCCTTTTTCTTTTTAAAATGTATTTATTACAGAGACAGGGTCTCCTATGCTCCCCAAGCTGGTCTTGAGCTCCTGGCCTCCAGCCATCCTCCCACCTCAGCCTTCCAAAGTGCTGCAACTACAGACATGAGCTATGGCACCTGGCCTCAAAATTCAGTCTTGATTTATAAAATGTACAAGTATGAAAAAAAATCCTCCTAGAACAATGGTTTGCTACTCTAGATGTATATTTAGAAGTATTTGGGAGACTTGATTACACTACTCCTTTTGGCCCTAATCTCTTAGAGTTAGGACAATTTTTCTTTTAAAGTTCTTTTGCTGATTTTGTTGTGACCTGGATTTGAAACCATTGAGGTAGATTCTGTTGAGAATTATCCCCAGAATTTTTGTGGCAACTAATTTCATCTCCTGTATTTGGGTCTCCCTCCAATTCTTTGTTACATTTCCCTGTGCATCTCTTCTATTTGGCTGTTCCTGAGTTGTATCCTGTAATAAGCTGCTAGTAATAAGTAAACTGTTTCGTTGAGTTCTGAGAGCCCTTCTAGAAAATTATCAAACCTGAGGAGAGGGTCATGAAAACCCCCAGTTTATAGCAAGTTAATCGATACAGGCAGCGATCTGTGACTTTTGACTGGTGACTTGGGACTTGGGACTGGTGTCTGAAATGAGCCCTTAACCTGTGGGATCTGTGATAGTCCAGGTAGGTAATGTTGGAGTTGAACTGAATTTTAGGACATCTAGATGGTATCCAAAGACTTGGAGAATTGGTTGGTGCGGGGGGTAAAAAAAACCCCACACATTCAGTGCCAATAGTATTGTTGGTAAAAACAGTCTAAAAGTAAAAGCATTAAAATAAGAATGAACTTTTAAATTTCTCTTTATTTCAAAGCCCTAATTTAACAGCCTTTGCTTATATGTAGCATATTAATCCCAGGTTGGGATCACTAAAGTGTGCTCTTTGAGCATGTAAGTTACAGATTGACATGTGAAATGGTCAGTAAGTTGACTAGTTTTGATAATATAAAAATGGTGGTTTCATATGATTCAACCTAAATAAATTAGTGCTATGGATATGTGAGAGTGCAGTTTGGTAGTAGTTGTTGAAGGGAAAAAAAGAAGAGCTGGCAAATTATATTCCACTATATGTAGTTCTTTTAACTTGATTTCTAGGGGGTGGAGATGGGAACAAGACCATTTTTAAAGTTTGCTGATAAAGAATGAAAAGAGATTTTTATATAAATGTTTGGAAAACTGTACTCGCAAGAAATATGTGTAGCCTTTTTATATAATAGCAGCTTTAGATTACTCTTATCAGTTGTGGTATTCTTCATCAAGCTGTCTACTTCATGGCATGCACTTTGCCTGTATTATCTTATTGAATTCTCGTAACATTCAAAATTGATATTTAAAATCTCCATTTTACGAATAAAGAATCTGAGACACATATCATCCAGCTAGTAAGTGGCAGAATTGGCTTATTAAGTCGTGTGTTATCCGTAAAGTTTTTGGATTTTTCATTTTGCTAGTGCTGTCTTTGGAGAGAGATAGATGCCTAAGAAATAGAAAATATAGTCCTGGTCTTTGAAAGATTGCTCACCTAATTGGTATTTTAAAAATTACACAGACACAAAGAAGATATATCCAGAACAAATAAAACATAAACCATGATTCCAAGTGTTGAGACTTTATAGTTACAGAAAGATTTTCTGAAAGTGAATGGTCTTGGGCAGGGAGCTAGGCAATAATGAGAAGCCAATTTGCAAGGAAACACTTCCCTTAATCAACAGTGATAGGGTGTCAGAACCAGGAAAATTGTTATGAGAATTTGGTGCATTTTTTTCTGCACTTTTAACATGATGGAAAGCACCATTGAAATATCAAATAGGCCAGGCGCTGTGGCTCACGCCTGTAATCCCAGCTCTTAGGGAGGCAGAGGCGGGAGGATAGCTTGAGCCCAGGAATTCAAGACCTGCCTGGGCAATATAGCGAGACCCCGTTCTCCACAAAAAGGAAAAAAGCAAAAAGAAAAAAAAAGAAAGAAATATTAAATATTCCTTTGTTTCTTATATGATGTGATTTCAGAAATTTGTCCATTTTTGTGGCTGTGATTATTTTCCAGAGAGATTAGGTGTACTTAATTGGTTTAAGTGGTACTTTCGACCTTGGTCCTATTTTATTTGATTGGTGGTATTCACATCTTTATCATAGGACAGTGTTTGTGAAAATGAAACTTCTGATTGTTGTATCAGGGTATGATGAGCTACTTGAGGTCAAGAAAGAAGATCTAGCAGAACGCCTGAGTGTATAATCTTGCTGAGATTTAGAAAGTTCCTGTTCTTCTTTTTCATTAAAATTGTTTCCTTTTGTACTTAATTTTTCTGTTTGAAAGGAAACCTTAAAGTATTTAAGATGGCTGTGGAAATTTTGAGTAATTATATACATATATATATTTAGAGATAGGGTCTCACTGTGTTGCCCAGGTTGAAGTGCAGTGGCACAGTCATTGCTCCTTGTAACCCCAAACTCCTGGGCTGAAGCAATCCTCCTGCCTCAGCTTTTCAAGTAGCTAGGACTACAAATATAGTCTACTACATGTGGCTAATTATTTTTTGTAGAGACGAGGTCTTGGTAAGTTCCCCAGGCTAGTCTCAAACTCCTGTCCTCAAGTGATCCTCCTGCCTTGTCGGCCCAAAGTGTTGGGATTGTAGGTGTGAGCTGGCTTGAATAATTTTATAATTTATATATTCACCATTTTACACATTCAGAGAAAGGAGTTGTGATAAGACACTTTGTAATATAGACTAAGTCATTCTATTGACAATGTCATGAAAGCCTCTTGAGCACTTGAAATATGGCTAAATTGAAATGTAATATAAAAATGTAAGATAGTCTTGAGTTATGAAATAATTTTTTTGTTTGAATTCAAAGTGTGTTTTTGTGGTTTTTTTTTTTTTTTTTTGAGACGGAGTGTTGCTCAGTCGCTGGGCTAGAGGGCATTGGTGTAATCTCAGCTCACTGCAACCTCTGTCTCCCAGATTCAAGCGATTTTCCTGCCTCAGCCGCCTGAGTAACTGGGACTACAGGCACATGTCACTGTGCCCAGCTAATTTTTGTATTTTTTAGTAGTGACGGGGTTTTACTACATTGGCCAGGATGGTCTTGACCTCTTGACCTCATGATCCTCCCACCTTGGCCTCCCAAAGTGCTGGGATTATAGGCGTGAGCCACTGCACCCGGCCCAAAATGCATTTTTCTACTGAAATTATCTTGTGCATGGTAGGTAGGTTTTCTGGCCTACCCTCTAAAAATCTAATGCCTAAATAACTAGAGAAATTATCCTTAAGAATTGATGTGTGTTTATGGGGAATGTTTTTCTTTTCAGTTAAGTAACAGTTGGAAATGTCTATTGCAGCTTGATTCTTACTAGTTTCAGCCACTGGTGAGGGCATTTGTGGCTCTAGACAGAATTTCTTTTGGTGAGTATTGAAGGTAGGGGATAGGGACACCTGTGTGTGGGAGAAGTACAGCACTGCTGACAAATCCTTAGAGACATTTCTTGGGGCCTAGTTTACTGTCATGTTTATTTTCTTTAGGGATTGTCTGTCTGGTTCCTTTTCTGTTTTGCTGGTTGATCCCATATATGATTTCTCTCACATATAGCGGAGAGAAGAACCACAAGAGAAAATTCCAGGTACTGACTATGAGGGGATATGCCCAGGTAGTCATCTCTGACTATAAAGGGACATGGATAATTGGTTTATGTAAGGAAGTACTGTCTCTAACATAATTCAGGACATGAAGTAGACTGGGTCTAAAGAGGACTTGCATTTTAACCTAGGCCCTACCACTAAGCAGTTGGTAACTTTAGGCAAACCATATAAACTCTTCGGAAATATTATATATATATATAAAATGAAGGCAGGGAGGAAAATGAGTTAAATAATTTTATTTTTTTATAGATACAAGTTCTTGCTTTGTTGCCCAGGCTGGTCTCAAACTCCTGGGCTCAAGCGATCCTCCCTCCTTGTCCTCTCAAAGTGTTGTGATTACAGGCATGAACCACCATGCCTAGCTGAGTTAAGTAATTTTGTATTAGTATCTCTTGAAAATTAAGACTAAAGCATTTAGCTCCAGGGACTGACTGGATATAATTGTATATGGTAGTTTACTCATCTTTAATACTGCAAGAACATTCTGTGTACTTTAACACCTGTCTTATTTTCTCTTGCTGTGCACTTCTTTTTTCTCTTTTTCTTTCCCTTCTGCTTCTCACTGTTTTGTCATTCTTGGAGCTCATTATCTGTCTCTTCCAGAACCTCTTTGTTTCCAGTCTCATTTAATGATACTGTTGACTTATATTCCGGTATCATTGGCTAGAAATACCCGAGTTGTTTTTGGCTCAAACAGCTTCTTTTCCTATATCTAATCAGTTGCCACATCCTGTCACTTATACCTGCAGGAGATATTACCTGTCTGTTCTTTTCATTCTTTCTTA